CGTTTCATTAAAGAAGAACCCGTCCAGAAGACCTATACAATTTTTTTCTTTTTGATTTTTTACCTGGATTACTGAGATGCATCAGGACATTAAACAGAACAGGAGTTTCATTTTACCTGAACCAACGCAGAGTTCAATCTATAAATGGCTTCACAGCAATTTACACATCACACACGTCGATCAGGTTCACACAATGACCATCAAGAGGGATGGTAGGGAGAAAGATTAGCATGTGAGTTCACAGCCTACCTATCAGCTTAAAACTGAGAAATCTCCTTGAATTAACATTGAAAATATGTCCAGTTGCTTCTGAATCAACTTGTTGGGATTACACCCTAAATGACGCCCGGAGTGATCATCCTCACCATCTCAGGATCTAAAAGCCAGTTTCTCAGTGAATATGACTGCTGGTGATAAATAAACTGCCTTTGTTTTTAAAGAAGTTTCTCATTAGAGCTGCATTTTTGTTGAGATTTTACTCAGATTTTTGCCAAAACATTTGTGCAATGCATGTTTCTTTTTCTTTGTATCCAGCTAATTGCAGTCTAGGGAGAAACTACCTGAAGTACTTAACGCTAAACCTGAAACATTAAAGCAGACAGGTCTTAAAATCCTCCAACATCTGATTTAGACAGAGAGCACTTCAGAAACTCATCCCCGAGTTGTGAATTATGATGAGGAGCTCCTGCTGGCCTGGACTGTTTCAATGAAAGTCAGCTGAGAAACAAACAAACAAAAACTAAAATAAACTGGAGGCAAAACTAAATGAATAAAGTGGACGACGGCTCTGGCAGAAACACATGCAGGATGAAGATAATGAAATAAAGAAGAGTTGAAACCAAAAACAAAAACTGGGAAGAAGTTGTTGGTGGTTGACGTGACAACAAGACTAAATCACGGCTGCAGGCTCAGTTCTGATTGGCTGTACATACCGATAAGATTTCAACACTCTGAAGAAGACCACACCCACAACGCACAGCAAGAGAGAGAGGGGAAGCTCGGACTGTGAGTGTTGTTCATTTCATCACACTGTTATTTACTCAGACAGACAGCATCAACAAAACCACAGAGAAACAGAAGACTAGCAGCTGTAAAACAGTTCACATTTCCATCAACAATCACTCTGTGTAGGTGTTAGTGTATAAAATCATCTAGTGGGGGTATATTTAGGCACAATGATGGATGTAGTGCAGCGCTCCTTTGGCAGCTGTGTTTACTAGAAGATCAATAATAAACAAGAGAAACAATTGTTTTGGCACTGACACTCAGTCGGATTCTTTTTCAACCTTTGAGAAGCATCCGTGATGGATCAGGATGTTAGCAGCTTTTAAGCTGGAATCACTGGTACTGTTAGCGATGCTAACGATGCTAATAAATGTAGCTTGGTAAAATGTCAGTGCCGTGATAATTTTTAGTTTTACTACAACAATAAAATCTTTTTTTATTGTGGATCTGCTGATGTGTTCTCAGCTTTTATTTATTTATTGATTGTTAACAAGAGAAAAATACATTTATAGTTAAATGAAGAAATAATTAATTTTAGTTTTGACAAAGCTAAATCTAAATAGAGATATTAAATGAAATGACAGATTAAACAAATACAAATGTTATCATGAAGTGTGTGTTGAGTAGTAACAAACACTGGAGATGTTTTGATTGGTTGACTGAGAACAACCTGTGATGATTTACCTTTTTAAAGTTTTATAATCTTTGTTGAAATGTTGGACCTATGATTCATGTTAATCTGTTTGTGTCACATTCTTTTTGAACTGAAGACTAGTGAGCAGATTTAATCTGACTATCCTCAAGCATTATTCCAATTAAATTAAAATAATTAAATTTAGTAATTAGTGCTCCATTTGCAAAAAATGTATGTTTAATCCATGATTAGATTTATATTAATTTGATCTGATACACTAATTCTTTATTAGAATATATGTTTTATATATACAGCTTCATTTTAAAATCTATGTATTTAATAATCAATATAAATATAAATAAAAAATAACATATAAAATCCAATAGTGTTAGTGGAGAAAAACACTAAAAATTAGTAAAATAAATTAAGGTTGTTGATTCGGTATTAGAAGGTACACTTAATGAGCAGCTTTAAAGAATGCTAAATAATAAACACTCTGAAAACTAGCCTGTAATAAAGCCAATAAGAAAGTCTTTGTGTTTTTTTGCTGTGTTTTCTGAGCTGAGTGTTGGATGTGAGGTTTCAGACACAGTCAGCTCTGAAAGGGTTAAAGGTGGATGTGAGGTTTCAGACACAGTCAGCTCTGAAAGGGTTAAAGGTGGATGTGAGGTTTCAGACACAGTCAGCTCTGAAAGGGTTAAAGGTGGAGGTGAGGTTTCAGACACAGTCAGCTCTGAAAGGGTTAAAGGTGGAGGTGTGGATGTGAGAAGCGAACCTCTTGAAAACGGCCGTCTCGGTCTTCGCATCCACGGTGAGGCTGACGGTCTCTTTGATGGAGCCGTTGATGACGGTCTCCGTGATGCTCCGCTGCTCTTCTTCTGTCTTGGATTTCCCACAATCCTTGGGTGGAGGTGAGGAAGAGGAGGAGACCACACAGGAGCCCAACCAATCGTCACTTTCTGTAAGATGTAGAGGCGTCAGATCTGGGCTGGTCACTGAGACAGAAGCTGATTTTTAACACGTTTAAAGGATTTGTTGTGCGAGAGCTGGACAGCTCACCCTCGGGACGTATCGGCGCGTTGACCCCCAGAGGGTCTGCAGTCTCTATGTTGGTTTCCATTGCAACAGGAGAGTTACACCTCAGAGGGTCTTTGGGACTGAAATTAAAAAGTGTCCATTTTAGCCACAGTGAAGATGGTAACAGTGACTGTAACCCGTCCTCTACAAACAGAAACGGTTTGATTTTCCAACCTGACAGGAGAGAAGCTGGAGAAATTGGCCCAGCCCGGTTCTGTGCTGGATGCTGCAGCCAGAGGTGAGTTCCACGTTGCCTCAGGGACAACCTCTGAGGATGAGGACACGTCGGGGTTGTTGAGGCTGGAGGCTGGAGCTGTGGAGGTACTTGTGTCCATTGGGACATCATCAAAGTTGGCTGTCCACACTGGCCCTTCAGATTTAAATGATTGGTGTTAAAACACAACATGTAGTTTGTGTGGTGAGTGAGTCTGTGTCGAACAAACCTGTGTCTACTTCCATTCTGTCATCAGTACCAGGGTTAGAGGCTTCGAATGGGTCTCTCTTTCCCTCCTCCTCCTCAGAGTCCGTGCTGTCCTCACTGTCTGTGCTGCCTGAGCTCCTGAGGTGGACACAGGTCGAGTCTTGGTTCAAATCTGGAGCTTATGAGATTATAAAGTAGAAGGCTCATGTTTGCTCAGCTCACCTTGGACGTCTCTGCGTCTCTGGAGTGAAGGTCACATCTTTTTCATCCCAAATGTCCTCTTCATCTGAGCCCGGATCTTCAAACTGCTGGATTTTCTCCTTACAGCGTGCCTCAAACAAAGCTATATTTGCCTGGGAAAACAAACACGCAGAAAACAGAGACAATATATTTATAGGCTTAATTCTGAAGAAGACAACCCAACAAGAGGTGGAGCAGGCATGAAGATATGAGCCTCAAAAGGGTACAGCTTGGTCCCTATCTGGACAGCAGAGACAACATTATGGTTTTGGTTCAGTACATTATCACAAAAATAATTCAGATGCAGTTGAAATTCAGACTTTCAGCTTTAATTCAATGATTCAAATGATTGCATAAAAATGTGAGAAATTAAAGCATCTTTAAAATACAATCCCTTCATTTCAGGGACTAAAGAGTAATTGTTCAAATGAAATAATTAAAAGTAAAAAGCTCATTTCTAAAACTTCTTAAAACCCTTTGTTGGCAATGACTGCCTGAGGTCTTGAACTCATGGACGTCACCAGACTCTGTTTCCTCCTTTTTAACGCTCTGCCAGGCCTTCACTGCAGCAGTTTTCAGTTGCTGTCTGTTTGTGGGCCTTTCTGTCTGAAGTTTAGTCTTTAACAAGTGAAGTGCTCAACTGGGTTGAGATCAGGTGACTGACTTGGTCATTCAAGAATATTCCACTTCTTTGCTTTATTAAACTCCTGGGTTGCTTTGGCTTTATATTTTGGGTCATTGTCCATCTGTAGTATGAAACAACAACCAATCAGTTTGGCTACATTTGGCTGATCTGAGCACACATTATGGCTCTGAACACCTCAGAATTCATTGGGCTGCTTCTGTCCTGTGCCACATCATCAGTAACGCCCGTCCATCAGGACGCCCAGGTCTTTTTGCATTGATGAGTTCACCAGTGCTTTCTTTCTTTCTTTCTTTCTCAGGATGTACCAAACTGAAGATTTTGCCACTCCTAATATTGTAGCAATTTTTCTAATGGTTTTTTTTTTTTTTTTTTTTGTTTTTGCAGCTTAAGGATGGCTTGTTTCACCTGCATGGTGAGCTCCTTTGACCGCATGTTTACTTCACAGCAAAACCTTCCAGATGCAAGAAGCACCACACCTCAAATCATCTCCAGGCCTTTTATTTGATTCACTAATAAAGACATAATGAAGGAATTGCCCACACCTGTACATGAAATAGCCTTTGAGTCAATTGTCCAATTACTTTTCATCTGTTTTACAGCAGAGTGGCACATGTTCAGGAGCTGAACTCCTAAACCCTTCATCCAATTTAATGTGGATACCCTCAAATGAAAGCTGAAAGTCTGGACTTTATGTCTATTATATAACTATAACTTGAATGTTTCAGTAAACAGGTAAAAACATGTTTGTTCATGTTTGTTGCAAACGTCAAACTGTTGGATCATCGAATTTTAACAGTTTATATATCTAACATGCATTTGTTGTGTTTAAAAAGCTTCTATTTAGCTTTGCTGCATGTTACTGATCTGTTGGTTACGAGTTCAAAAATCTGCCCTGCAAATAAATGTATTTGTTCAATAAGAAAAACTCTGTCACTCCTTGACAATATACAGTTTTAAGAATAAAAAAGTACTTACACTTTCATTTGTATTCAGTGAAAAATTGATGTCTGATATTCTATCAAAGGGAATGCTGCAAAGTTAAAGAGAACAGTTTAATTAGTCGTTAGGCATAAATCACAACACAATACAAACAAGAACTCATTAAATCAATTTTATTAAGCAAAACTTTCTGATTAAACCTTGATCATGCTCTGATAAAAGAAGCAGTATATATAGCTTTAGAAAATCTACAGATTCAGGTTTAAGGCTGCTTCTTGGATGAATTAAGGGATATGTACATTATGAAGACAAATCACTGAACAGAAAGATAATCAGTGATAAAAAGTTGTTTACCAGGCACAGAATAAAACAACAACTTTAAACCCAACTTTACTTCTATAACTTAAATATGGTAAATGACTTCTGATGGATCTCTAATCCAGTGGTTCTCAAACCTTTAGGTTCAAAAACACTAATATAGACACTTAAGTAACAACCTATAAACAGTTCCACTGTAATAGTTAAGACCAAAAAGGCAGGACACCACTGTTTGAGAACCACTGAGTTGATTAAATGGTTTTTGTAAACTATAGTGAAAAAAACCAGTCAAAACGAATAAAATGGTTAAGGTAAAGCATCACACTTTGATTTATGAGATGATATTTAAACTGGAAAATTAGTACGTTTAGAAATGTCACACAGATGTACACAGTAAAGTTAAGATTTCAAAACACACGACTATCAAAATGGATATGAGATTTAAAAGGACAAAAGCTTGATTCATGCAACAGTTTCCCAGAAAAGATATGAAATCCAAAAACAGAAAGGTCACATTTCCCACAGTGATTCAAAGTATTTACGTTTTCTATTGTTTTCATTTGGAATAAGAAACTTCTACAGTTGTGGAGAAAAAAACAAAACAAAACAAAAAAAATTATATACTTAACTATTTCAAGGTTTGTGCTACAAAAATATATTGTGGGGTTGATCAAATCTTAAAATGAGATTAAGCCTTTGATAAACATTACAACATAAAACACTGGGCCAGTATTAGTAAGTAAGAGAGTTAGGCCAAGGTGCAGAAACATCATGTAAAACATTAAACCCACTTCATGATTGGGCAGCATGTAGCTTCTCTCATTACTACCGAAGAAAGAAGAAAGCTGACTGAGCTTTGCAGACCTTTGCTTTGAGGCTTATGAGTGGTTCCACCACAGAGTTTCTGTCAGGCTGAGGTCTGGACCTCGTTTGCACCATGACTCTTAAACAAAATTTACCTTTTTAGCTTAAACTTCAAACTAGTGCATTTACGTTAATTGGAAAGTACCTGGTGAGTAAATAATTAATATTTTATGACACAACAGTGCATTAATTCTAGTTTGAAGAATCTACCATCCATGACAGACCACTAACAGATCACAGTTGCAGCTGTACAATTTAAAATGACTACATTAAAACAGGTGTAAAGTGAATGAATGTTTCAGAGAAAAACATTTTTACCTGCTTTAAAGTTTAACTTTTAGTTCAGCTGTGACTGCTAAATTGCAGTCTTGCAGATTCAATTCTGAATCTGTTAAAAACGTTTGTGTGACACAGTCTGAGTACTCGCAGAGTTGTGAGAGGTGTGTAGTTCAATCTGCATGTGAATTTAGGTTACATAACAGAGCCTGGCGTGAGGTTTATATAGCTTTCCAGTTTAGAAATGAGAAAGCTCCTCTGACGGGAAGCAAAAATGTCTTCAACCATTTGTTCTATTGTTGAACAGTGAGATGCTTTATGCTACTTATTGTCTATTAAACACAGTTGAAAAAAATGTTGCTCTTATTCAGTTTGACAATTTAATCTCACAGAGAAGCAGACTTATCTCAGTGTGTTAAGCAGTTTGAGTAGTCTGATCTAAGTTTTTTTTTATTAAATGTACTGCATAAATAAAAACCCTTGTTTTTTTGTCTGTTTACTGGACTATCAAATGTTTGTTTGTTTTTTCTTTTTCTTCGTGGTTTTTGGATGGACAGGCTGATTAAAAGGCTCTAGACTTTAAAAATGTGCTGTAAAGCATAACAATTACTAATCAGCTACACCCCAAGACCCATAATCATCACACAGAGTTAAAATGAGCCCCAAACCAGCCCACTCCAATGAAAGAAGAGAAAAACAGCAAAAGACAACACAGAGGTGGAAATGGTTTTCTTTCTTTAGGCCAAATGTTATTTACTGCAGTCTATGTTTCTAAAACAGAACTGTATTAATCATTCTGTAATCACCATCATCTTCAAACATGTTTTAATGTAATCTTCATCTTTATTCAACAGGAGCCATGATGAAGATGTTGGTTATGTGTCAGTAATTAAACAGATTTTAAAAAAGCTTGTCATTCATAAATGATGAAAACCACCAGCTTTGTAATGTCTTGAGTGTCACTGTTAGAAAATATTCAGCATGGTGAGTACTCACTCCACGACATCATCCTGATCAGCAAACTCTTCATCATTGAAGCCGAACTGCTCAATAAAATTGGACGTCATTTGTTGCATCTGATAATCAGAAAAGGCCTGGCAAGACCCAGGACCATTGATAATGATATAGTCTTGGATCTACACAAAACTGGTCATTACTTGCAGAACATAATATAGGAAATACTTATGAGTGTGTAATAGCTGCAACTAACACTGAATAGAAAGGTTTAACATCTGCAGGGTGAGCAAACTGGGCAGTCAAACCAGGATCGTTTAAAACTAATTTATAACATCTGTAGTTTGTCATGAGAAGAAGATGAGGTAGTCTGAACCAACATTAAACACTACAGACTCAGTACTGAAAGGCCAGACTACTTCATCATATATGTGCTTCCACTTTCATAAACATTTACGTTCGTACAGTTTATTTTCACTAAATTTAGTTTCCTATTACATAAAAACCAATCTGAGGTGTAAAAGTTAAAAGGTTATTTCAGTACAACAACTATCTACTAACAAAATGCAGAACATCAACATCAAAAGTTATAGTTTTTAATAAACCATCATTCTACTGAAAAACATCTAGTTGTGTACAAAATACTTTATTTAATATTAATAAAGACTAGAGAAGATGTGTACACCAAACATCAGCCATGTGTGAGTTCAGGTCTTACCTGTTGAAGTGAGGAGTCTTGGTGAAAGCCGCCATCTTTGAAGTCCACCTCATCATCGCTGGAAGAATGGATGTGATGTGTGTTCACCTGCACACAAAAACAGTGTTAAAATCCTAACTACACACACTGTGTTTATGTTGTGTTCACTCATTTATTGTTTTATTTCTTACTAAACAGATGCAACAGAAGGTCAACACTTAATGAGTGTGCACATATTTATTATTATTCTTTATTTATTCACCATTATTTAACCAGGCAGGTCCTGTTGACATCTCAGATCTCTTTTTAAGAGAGGCCTGGGCCTGAAGGAACACCTATTGTTCATGTTTTTATATCTGCAAAAACCAAGGCAGCAGGGCCTCTAATGTTAAAGTGAAAGTTTAAAGGTGTAAAGAATTTTTTTTACTAAACTTTATTTTGATAAATAATCATTTTAAAGGGTGCTCATGTTGGT